AACATTTGCAGGCACTACTTTGAATATCTGACTTGTCAGTTTTGAAGAAAAGCAGTTATGTGGCTCTGATATTTTGAATACACCCAAGAAATAGTCCTCTACGTTGTGATTGCATTCTGTAAACTTTACTTCATAGCAATTATAATTCTGCAGCACATTTAACTTACTAATATTTATTGAAATATTTTTAGCTGCAAAAACATTTTATGTTCACTATTATTTATTAATACCCTGTTTTAAAATATTACACATAAAATTTATTCCAGTGCACATTAGTAAATAAATTATGCTTGTAATTTCTAATGCATTTTTAATTATAAATTTATCCATGTCTACCTTTATTTATGATAGCGGTGTCTCACTGTTGAACATACTGTATATTAATGGAGACACTGTTAATTATGCATTCTTGGAAGTTGCATTCGACAAAACATACGAGTCTGTTTTTTACATTCTAAGTACTGTTAACATCAATTAATTTAGGAGTTGGCACTAGCAGTACTAGCTAACCTTTAAAGCAAGAAACAGTACTATTAGAAGCTGGTTATAGGGCCTGAATTTTGGGAAGGGACATGTAGCCAGAGAGATACTAAATACCAGCCAGATGTTCCACTTTTACCTCAAGTACCTAAAAAGGGATCCTCACCAGAAATAATATTCAGCATGAAAATTCAATAGAACGAAGCTCAGTGAATCTGCCAGCCCCCAGTACTGATCTGTACTTAAATAGTATCCTCAAAGTGTTACGTTTAAGATTTTCCGGTTGGTTAATTCTGTGCTTCTGTTCTACTCACCAAATCCACCTTATTATAAGCAATACATTTGCTTTAAAAAATTCTTCACATTGAAATGTCATTTAAGTTTGAAAAAAATGTTATATTGCTCTCTGAAATTACGCACTTCTAGAGGGCTTCTCTAAAATAATTTAAATGGATTTTTGACACCGAATTTACTCTTTTCCTGGAATTGCTTTGTACCACAGGAGTATAAATGCCTATGTTTTCTCTATGGGAGGAAAAACATTTCAAAATGAGAAGAAGCCAAAATTGGGAAAATAGCAGGGAAACATATTAACATATATAAAATATTAAGAATGCACATTTGCAGAGAAACTACAAGGTACCTCCATTATCCCAAAGCTTTGGCAGGGCTTGAAAGATTGTTACTTTCATGCGATTATATTTACTCTGGGCTTGTTGTCATGTTTGGCAAAGCGATATTTTCCATGTACAAATAATGCTTATAGAAAATGAGATTTCCAATTGCTTTGCTTCATGGGCATGTTTTTGAGCATCTTTTCATTTAACACACATTTTACCAAGTGTTTATGGTATCTTAAGCTTTTTAGTGTATAAAAAGAAATAAAACTCTCATTCCTCATGGCCTATCAAGGAGACAGATGTGTGTTGAAAGAACATCAGAAAACGTGATAAACATTCAACACAGAGAATCGAGCTCTTCATGTGGCCTGTTAGGGAGAGGAGTTCTGGGAAAACTTCCTGGAGGAAGTAGCACGTGAATTGGGTCTTCAGGAATGAATAGGATACACTTAGAAATGGTTAATATGGCTTATACATATATCCACAATAAAAATATGTTTTTAAAAAGCATTTGCATATTGTAATTTATTCTTTTAGAATTCTGCCATTATGTTACATAGAAAGCCAAGACAGCCACTAGAGAGGCCACAGGAGAAAAACCCAAAGTACCCTGGCCAACATCTTCAGCCATATGAGTGAGGCTATATTAGTCCTTCCAACTATTCTAGCTGCCATCTAATGCAATTACATGAGCAAGCCCAGGGAAGACTGGCAGGAGAAGCACCCATTAACCCACAGAATCCTGAGAAATAATAAATGGTGTTTGTTTTAAGCCATTAGAATAAAATGAATAGAAGTTTACTTAGTGGCGAGGGAAAGGGTGATTGAGGCTTGAGCAGGATGTTAGGAAAGCAAACACATAAAGGGACCTGCTCCCTGCTGCCCATCTTGGTGTGCCAGGCCATAAAAGCTGGCATTTATGGAACCAGGCACTGTTCTAAGTACTCTTCACTGAATCTTCACAACAGTCTAGATGAGAAAACTGAGACACAGAGAAGGTAGGTAACTTGTGAAAGGCTGCGTAGCAAGTAGATGTCTTTGAACCTCTGCCCACTGCCCCCTTTCTAATCCTGGGAACCAGAAGAAAAGTAACTTCCATCCCCTAATGTGGCTGCCTTTCCAAGCTGGACATGAAGGCTGTGAAACCCAATTGTTATGGATATACTGAGGTATGGTTCCCTCTGTCTTCATGTCTGTTGGAGTCCCCTAGCCAGCCCCTGGCCCAGCACCATCAGTGTGCTGTAAAAATATTAATTTTCCATGTGTGTTAGCTCTCATGGTCTTACCACCATACACCCTAGGTCAGGAGATAGGTCAATGTGAGCTTTCCTCTTTAATGCCACTTCCATCCTCGGATACAACTCTGCCTTCTTGGAGGTTCATGCCATCTAGTTGTCCTCTCCTCTCTCCTCCTCATCTACCTCCCTCCTCAATGCTGTTCCTAAGTTGCAGAAGAGTGTGGGAAGCACCTCTGGTTTCCTTTTCAGCCCACATCTGTCCACCATCCTGGGAGCTTTGGGGGTCCACAAGCATTTCTTCACCGTCTCATCTTCAGTGATTTTTCCTCCACTCCACTTCAGCTGGGCCCCCACTCCCACATGGCTCTTCGTCCGAGGTTATTTGTTGAAACATTGGTCTCTGACAATAGCTTCCACCTTTGCACATTGTTGCATCAGTGACTTCCATTATACCTGTACTGGGACCTTCAGGCCAGTGACATCAGTCTTTCTGGAATTCTCTTATTTCCCTGTCTGGCGCATATTCTGTGGCCCTTTGGTTTAAGCACTCGTAAAAGCTGAGATCTTAAACTCCTTGACCCCATCACACCTATCTGGTAAAACCCCTTCCTTGGATTAACCCAACTTCTTGCTAGCTATAGAAAAATCACACAAGCCATCATATTAGTATCATCATAAATTCAGAATCTTCCTTTTCAACTAGACTCTCAATACTGTCCTTGAAATCTTACCATATATCCCTGCATGCCAACTTGCCATGGTAACTACAGTGTTTTAAACTTGACTATAAGCTTCTTGAGGGCAGGGTCCCTGTCTGGCTTTTTCACCACTGAATTTCCAGTACCTTGGACAGGCTTAATACACAGGGACATTCAATAAGTACCTTTTTACTAATTGAGGTATAGTGATAGTGGTAAGCATTCGGTAAATGTTAGCCACATGCCAGGCTCTGTTGTATGTGAGTTATATGTATTAGCTCATTTAATCCTCACAACAGCCCAGTGAGGTTATTTAGGACTTTTGTCATTCCCATTGTACAGATAAGGATATTTAGAGAGGCAGCTTCAAGTGATGAAGTCACAAAACTTGTAGGTGGCAGAGTGGGCATGCCAGCTTTAGAACCTATATAAGCTACAATTGATTTCAGTTTTAGATAGGTTGAGTTTAACATACCTAAGGGACGGTCAGGCAGCTATGCTTCAGATTGGAGCTCAAGAGAGGGGAAAATGGAGAGGAAGATTTAGGAGGGAATAGATAACCTGGTGACCTCAGAAAATCAAATATCCAAACTTGTTAAAGGGGGTATAGCTCAGTGGTAGAGCATTTGACTGCAAACTTGTTCACACCTGTTGCTTTGGTGAAGTGTCTCCAACAGTCTCCCTGATGGAACCATCGTGGTGTGTGTACAAGAGTGCATCTGGGTGCTAAGTTGCATTTTTTTTTCCAGTATAGGTATGTGGTAAGAGATCAATCATACATAGTCATCCACTGCATAATGACAATGACAAGCTGTGTGTAGGATGGTGGTCCCATAAGATTATAATACAGTACTTTCACTGTACTTTTTCTATGTTTACACATGTTTAGATACACAAATACTTCCCGTTGTGTTACAATTGCCTACAGTATTCAGTACAGTAACATGCTGTCCAGGTTTGTAGCCAGGAGTGAGCCATATGCTATACCACATAGCCTAGGTGTGTAGGAGGCTATACCATCTAGGTGTGTGTAAGTACACTCTGTGATGTTCGCACAACCATGATATCATCTAATGATGCACTTCTATCCTCCTCATTAAGTGACACAACTGTATTTGAATACATGGGTGGATCCATGGTGTATTTGTTGGTGACGTTAAAATTGGGTAGCAGTCCCCCAAGGCTGAAATTCAACCTAGACTTTTCTCTTTTGCTAAGGTGCATTTTTGAGAGACTTCGCCGATTATCTCTTACGTGGAAGAACACTACATCGCACTGCTTGAGTCCTTTTTTTCCCCTTCTCGGTGGCTTCCCCCACCGATTTCCTCTCAGAGAAAAGACAGAGAGAGAAAGGGAGACAGCACAAACATTCAGCTCCTATTCTGTGCCAGTCCTCTTACATCTCGCTAAAACCTTCTGGCAGTTCTCGAGGAATATTAGTATCATCTCCATATTACAGATAAGAGAAATAACTAACATTTACTGCGTGTTTATTATTTTTAGTGCTGAGTGTTTTTCAAGCATCATCCCATTCTATTCCCACAGCAATACTCTAAATTTGGAATTATTGCTATCGATGGGAAAACTGAGGCTCAGAAAGGGGAGGTGTCATGTCGGCATTTGAACCTAGGTCTTTCTGATACAGAGCAGCCTCATCACTAATTCTGGATGCACTGAGGGCTTTTCTCCATGGAGGTGGGGAGAAAAAGGAAGATTCGACGGAATCAACCAGCTAAAGTTGGTTGATTTCTGCTCAAGGAAAGTTCAGGCGCTGGCATATCTTGCCAGAACTCCCAGTCAATCCCTGACCCAAGCTTTTCCTGAGGCTGAAGAAGCAATGCGCATGCGCACGGCCTCCCGCCCGGCCCCGCCCCCCGGGAGGGCGCCGCGCCTTGCCTTCAGCTCTGGGGCTTGCGCACTACGTCCCCAGCCAGAGGCTCCTTCCCGGCCGGGGACTTCCGGAGCACCGGGGTGTGGTTCCGGGTCGTAGCGCGGCTCGGGGCAACAGGGCTGCTGCTCGGCGGGCCGGCGGCGGCGAGCAGCAGGGGCATGAGGGTGAACCCGGGAAGCTGCAGCTGAGCGGGCCGGGAGGAGCGCCGGTCCCGTGGATCCCAAGAGTGCAGAGCTCGGGGCAGGGGCCGGGAGGCGTGGGGGAGCCGGGCCCTCCCCTCAGGAACGTGTCCTGGGGCCGACCCGGCCCGTAGTGAGGAAGCAGCTTCAGGTAAAGGTTGCCCCAGCCGCTAGTTCCCTTGCTCGCCCGCCAGCCCACCAGCTCGCCCGCCCGCAGGACCTAGCGGCCCCCCTCACTCCTCCGGTGTCGGCGCTGCCCAGCGGGCCTCCAGTCAGGCCCTTGCTCAGGTTGCCTGGGAGCATCCTTTTCCTGGCCCTTTCCAGATCTGGAGGCTGTCAGGAGTCTGACAGCCGGGTGTGTGATTTGGAGGAGGAGAAGCTAGCGGACCTGGTAGTGTTGGGGTGGGGGCGGGCGTGAAGTTGGCTCCGGCAGTTTCTGGCCCTGCAGTATCTGGGTGCCCTGGTCTTCATAATGTGAAAACTTAGTTTTTCAAGCATTGCCTGTTTGGTCCCTGTTTCCTAGCCCCTTCTCCCCATCCCCCCAGGGTAAACAGCCTCAGAGCCATTTTTCTAGCTAGAGTGCTGCTGGAACTTTGATTCAGTTTGTTTATGGAAGCGGCAAGGAGTCGTCTAGATTTGTTTAAGGCTGAAAAAAAGATTGTAGTTTAAACAAGAATATTTAACCAGAGACCCAGAAATTGGTTAAAAGTTCATTTTGAATGCGAGTAATTTTTGAAGCCCACCACAGTACCTGGAACTGTGCAAAGCACCAAGTTGTTATAAACCAAAATCAACATCTACAGAGTTCAAAACTTTCCCAAATGTGAACAATCAAATGGAGACACATCAGTTAAAAAAAAAGTCAGCATTCTCATTCTATTTTTGACAAGGAGAAGGGGTGGATTCCTAATGTTAAAGTCCACTCTAGCAGAAAAGGAGACACCATATTTTATTCCTCACGTTCTATGAGCCCTCACAGGGTGCTCAGTAAACACTGAAAGAGTTATTGATGAAGCGATAATTATTTTCATCTTTTTCAGTTTACACACCTGCAAGATTTCTGGAGCCTATGGGGCATGCTGGTAGCCCCTTTCCTGTTCAGCTGTGTGCTCATACCTACCTTCAGCTAATGTGAGTGCCAGACTGCACTTATGTTCCTTTACACCTCCTTATCTGGCTCCTGGCTACCTTTCCGTTTATGCTTGAAAAGGTCCCCTTCCTTAATTACTCCACCCTGATCCATTACCCTAGATAAGTAGGGTCTCAAATCACTTTTGTTCTTTCCTATGTCCATTATTTTTTTACAGGACATTCTACCTACCCTGCCTAGAAGGTTTCCCTTTTTCTCTTTCTACCTATTGAGATGCTACCCATGGCCCAGCTAAAGTTGGCCTTCCCCAACCAATTCAGGACAACACAAGCTGCAAATGATTTCTTCTCTGGAATCCTATAAACACTTATTATTATATCTATATTTATTTCATTTAGCAAACATTTACTGAGTATGGATATATGCCAGCTACCATGCTAGGCAATGTAGAGATAAATTGGTCTCAGTCTTTGCCTGCAGGGAGCTCAATTTAGTGACAGAGATAAGGAAATTAATAATTCCAACATTGCTAAGTACACTGTGTGAGAGTTCTTTTTGTGAGACAGTAGTAGTACAAAATGGGAATGGATCATTAACTTTTGAGGGATAGGATATGGCCAGGTAATGCTTCATAATGTGAAGTAAACGAAACTCTGTTATTTACTATATGTTATATATAGTTTAATCTCTTGTTTAATCATTTTAACTTCACTTTACAGATTAGGAAGACTCAGGATAAATTACACACTTGGTATGAGACAGAGCCAGGGTTCAAACCCAGGTCTGTCTGATGCCTAAATCTGTGCTTTTTCCATTACATGTCTTCTTTTTCACACCATAGCTTTCTTTATGCAAGTACATATTGAAACAACCATACAAGGGAAAAAATATGAATGGTAAAATAGTACAGAAATCCTTTAAATACAGAGAAGACTGTTCTCTTTCAAGCCAAGGAGATGGCAGGTGGGTCAGCTCAACTTTGAATATGAGTAGAGAAGATAGTCTACAGAGAATAAGCACAGACTCTGGATTCAAATTCCTGGTCCCTCCTCTTACTGGATATGTGGCCTGTGGCTCATAACTCTAAGCATCATTTTCCTCTAGGATTGGGATAGGGAATAATAAGGACCACTTGGAGTGTTGTGAATATTTGATGAGCTAATGTGGAAAAAGGGCCTGGTACATGGTAAGGTCTCCCAAAACGATAGCTGTAATATGCAGAGATATATTGCTTGTGGCATGGTTTTAGAGTGGTGAATGAGTTTACAGCCTGAGTAAAGCAAGCCATTGCTTTTAGCAGGTTACCGAGATGTGAAATTGGAAGGACAGTAGGAGTCAGAGTCAATGAGGGCTTGAGTGCCAGGCAAGAGAGATAAATACTAGTTTCTGCTCATAACTTTTCTGGTTCATAAGTACTTTGAGGATCTATAATTCATTCAGCAGTGCCAGGCAAAATGTTAGATCTTGGGGATACAAAGAGGAATAAAACTTTCCTCACCCTGAAGTTGAGGGAGATGTATGTGCTAGTGAACTGTAGTACTATGGGTACTAAGGTAGACGTTCCCCACAGGAGTACCGGAGAGCACAAAGAAGGGAATACTGGTGATGGTAGCTAATGAGTACTTACTGTGTACCAGCATTGTGTCAAATGCTTTATCTCATTTTTTTCTTGTGTGAGAAGGTGCAGTTTGCATCCTGATTTTACAGATGAGGAAACTAGGCCACAGAGAGGTTAAATAACATCCTTGAATTTATACAGCTGGTCGAGTTGTGAGCTAGAGGGGACTGTCTGCTAAACTCCGGATTCTCTACTCTTCAGTACTACATCATGTGGATGCGGACCCCCTGGAGAGGCTTCAGGGAGGAGGTAGCCCTTGAGCTGCTGCTTTAGTGTGCCTGTCACTGTGCTGGGCAACGGAGATAATGAGGAATGGAAGTGGCCTCTGCACTGAAGGAGCTCATTGCCTAATCTGTCACTTTAAATATATTTCCTTCTTTTTGGTGGTGGTGGGGGGCTTGTTTTATTTGTTGACGCATAACTGAAGACTTCAGAAATTTTTGCAGTTTGGTAAATTTATATATTTCTGGCTGAGAGAGTTTGCTGGAAATCTGTTATTCTGATTTATAGGCCTTATTAAGGATATAGCAATAGATACCAAATTATCATATGACAAGAAATACTGTTCAATTATAATTTTTCCCCATGGGTGGTGCCCTGACTTTGTTTCTGTGAGTTTGAAGTTTTTGAGAAATTTAGGCTTAGAAGTTAGCACATTTCAGCTTGTGTTAAATTTAAAATGATTGAGTACTTGTATTTCAGTCATTTTAAATACTTTTGTATACTTTATTTCTTTTAATCTTCATAACTCTGTGAGTTAGGTGGCATTACAGTATCCCCATTTAACACAAGTAGACTAAGGCTTAGTGGTTAAGTGTGTTACCCAAGAGTAACACAGCTAATGAGTGATAGAGTCAGAAAAAACCGGCTCCAAAAGAGTAAACAAGTCTTTATTAACTCAAGTTTTCTTTTGAGCATCTACCCCTGAGGTCTCCAAGCCCAATGTCCATTAGGTACTAATAAGTAGGATGGGCCATGGTGAAATGGAGAGCATGTGCCCAATCTAAAGGTGGCAGTCGCTGCTCAGTTCCAGTTGCCATGTGAGGAAGTGGGGCTAGTGTCCTTGGATCTTCTGATTTTTTTGAAAAAATACAGAAATCTGGATTTTAATGTATTTAGTTAAAAATTTGCCATTTAAAAAATTATGGTGTAGACCAAAACACATTTATGGGCTGTGTGTAATCCTAGGCTGCCTGATTATGAACTCTGATCTATTTGGCTGATGAAATTTTGGTACCCACTGTTCAAAGCAGAAGGTACAACACGATGTTGTGAGTGTTGATCAGAAGTCTTCAGGTGAAGACATGTCAGCATGAGGGGGTGTTGTAGCTTGTACTGATAGCTTTTAAGTAGTGGCAAGGCAAATACTTTTATTATAAAATCAGGCTAAATTTCAAGAGGGATGGGGTTTGGATGACAAGATTGCCTCATAGACTTTTGTGCTATTAGTACTTTAAATGGTGCCAGATCTCTTGGTCTTCTCTACAATAGCATGAAGTGGTATTGTAAATTTGTTAAATACTTTCGTTTACCTTATTTCCTTTAATCTTGGTAGTCCTGTGAGATAGGTGGTATTATAAAGGGGGTAATAAAAAAATTAGCCAGACGTGGTGGTGCACACCTGTAGTCCCAGCTCCTCAGGAGGCTGGGGTAGGAGGATTGCTTGAGCCCAGGAGTTGGAGGCTACGGTGAGCTATGATCAGGCCACTGCCCTCCAGCCTAGGTGACAGAGCCAGACCCTGTCTCTAAAAAAAATTAAAGAGGGTAAGCATCACCTCTTGAGATAAAGAAATTGGTGCCCAGTAAATCACGATTTAAAAGAAAGTATACTCGACTGAGAGGGACTTACAAACTGAATATACCTATACCACTAACAGTCTTTGGATTTTGGTCACATCACTTACAAATCTTTGAATCTTTTTTTCCCTTCTGGATAGTAACGAGGAGTGAAATTCAAGACTTATTGAGGTCTTTTCAGGATGCCAAGCTTCTGATTCTAATTGATATGCTTAAAGTCACACAACTGATTTTTGGCAGACTCTAGTGGAGAATGTCTCAAATCTAAAATGCTGCTCCTCTTCCTCTTGTTGGCAGGTAGGGAGCTACGACTCAGCTCTTCCCTCTGTTCTTTATTCATTACTTCCTCTGGGAAAGGATCTTGATGGGCCAGGCGCTGCCTGAATGCATACAGTGCCTGTTGCCTACATACAGACAAGATTGAAAGAGGGCATAGAGACACCTAGCAGAGTGAGAGAAATATGGTCAGGGAGTTCCCAGCCCAAGAGTTTAATTTATTTTTATTTTAATATCCAGCTTCCACAAGGTGAAAATTGAAGAAATATTGGTCTTCTAGATACTTGTTTTCATTCATACTCTATTGTATATGAAATAACATAGAATATAAAAATAGAATAAATCCTGAGCAGTCATTCAAAATTTATTAACTCTAGTTGGCAGCAGTCTAGATATATTGGGGAAATAGATTTAATATAGGAAACAGAAAAAAATTTGGACCAAAAATAGGAAACAGTTTTAAGTAATTGAAAGTGAGAAAAATGGGAGAAACCACTTAAAAAACCTGAAATTCTGGAGAGAGCAAGAAGGTATTAAAATAACTCTTGGAATTAAGTTATGGTAATTGCTTGTGAAATAAATCGACTATTATGTCACATTTACCCCTAAATATATGCATTCTTGGATTCATAATATCCTATACTTAGGTATACTTTTATGAATGATTATATTATGGATGCAAAGTGGATGGAATGTGTAAAACTTCAAAAAAATAACATTTTTAAAGTTCCCTATGGACTCATTTTAAGGTACTGTGTTATAAATAAGTACCGTTTCGGCAGAGAAATTGGTGGAAAATTGAAGGAATGAGCTTGGCACAGTGGCTCATACCTGTAATCTTAGCACTTGCGGAGACTAAGGCAGGAGGATCGCTTGAGGCCAGGAGCAACAGCCTGAGCAACATGGCGAAACCCTGTCTCTACAAAAAAAAATAATTAGCTGGGTATGGTGACGTGTGCCTATAGTCCCAGCTACTCAGGAGGCTCAGGCAGGAGTATCTCTTGAGCCCAGGAGTTTGAGGTTGCAGTGAGTTATGATTATACCACTGCACTCTAGCCCCAGCAATAGAGTGATACCCTGTCTCAAAAAAAAAAAAAAAGAAAGAAAATTGAAGGAATGGTTGAAAATAAAATAAATATTTAGTCTGAACTTTAGTTACTGACATAAAGGAGGCTGATGAAGATCTGAGATGTAGACTTGAGTCTTGAAGCAGTGTGAGGTGGGGCTTTATAGTCATACCCTCTTGGATTTGAATACTGGCTGAGTATTTTTTTGCTTTTTTGTAGAGATGAGGTCTCTCTGTGTTGCCCAGGCTAGTCTCGAACTCCTGGCCTCAAGTGGTCCTGCCTT